ACCTCCATACGGCACCATTTATACAGAACACACGGCATATGGTGCCCCCTAATGCTGTGCTACGTAACCTGCCCATCTCATCTGGCTGGCAATCCAGAAAACCAGGATCCTGACTTCAGAGCCCGAACTGTGAACCACAATGCCTCTTTTAGAGGTAACTCGTGGTGAGCAATTAAAGCCTTATTCTTAGTATTTTTAATATTAGTAATAAAATTCAGCCTGGGAAACTAACCCAAGAATTTTGTCTTTGGTCTGTCACTTTACCTTTGGTCACAGTCACAAGGCAGAAACACCCTGACTGGCTAAAAAGAAATAGAAGGCTAGAAACCTCCCTTCTGACACAGAAAGACAAATACTGCATGATCTCACTCTATGTGGAATCTAAAATAGTCAAATTCATAGCAGCAGAGAGAGTGGCGGTTGCCAGGGACAGGGAGGAGGGGTAAATGGGGAGATGTTGGTCAGAGGGTACAAAGTTTCAGTTAAGCAACATGAATGAGTTCTGGAAATCTAATGTACAGCACGGTGACTACAGTTAACAGTACTGTATTGTATACTTGAAATTTGCTACGAGGGTAGGTCTTAAGTGCTCACACACGGGAAGGAAAGAAGAAGGAAGGAAGGAGGGAAGGAGGGAAGGAAGGAAGGGGGAGGGGGAAGGGGAAGGGGGAAGGACGGAAGGAGGGAAGGAGGGAAGGAAAGGAAGGGAAAAAGAAAGAAAATGCTAATTATGTGAAGTCATGGATACGTTAATCACTCAACTGAGATCATCTCATAATGTACACATATATCAAAACATCAAGTTGTACATCTTAAATATACACAATTCCTATGTGTCAACTGCACCTCACTAAAGCTGACAAAACATTTTATTTTTTACCAACCACCAAAGCAATGGCAGGAAACTGTAATGTTGAATAGTAAGCATGACTAAAAGCCCAGAATTATGCTGTGGCAAAAAAACATGCCAGCTTACCTGAAATGGATATTTATTTTGGCAGGGAATAACACCCTCATCATTCTTCACTATTTCCACACACTTGATTTTTGAAACATCAATAAATCCCTTTCTGTATTTTTTCTGTTAAAAGAAAAACAAAGGGAGGCAATCATAACAAGAAAAAATGTTATTAATAGAAATATTTGTTAATGAAATCACTGATTCAAAATACTACAGTTTTCTTAATAATTACCTAAATCATGTTTCCATTTATTGTCAAAACTGTTCAAAATACTAACATTGTGAGAACTGTAATAAAATAATAATATTATTATATAAAAAGTAATTATTTCTGTTTATTTCTAAAGATGAAATTTTCCTATCCTGCCCCCAAAACACTTTTTTGCCCCTAAAACTCCCTTTTATTGTCACCTTCCCCTTTCAGACATATATCTTTTCAATTTCTTCAACATCTTGTTGACAGCACTCCATCCCCACTCCCTCACCCCACCAAAATAGCATCAAAGACCAAACCAAGCAAAACTCCAGGTACTTGAGGGGGCACTCAGTCAGTTACACCTCTGACTCTCGGTTTCAGCTCAGGTCATGATCTCAGGACTGTGAGAGCAAGCCCCACATAAGGCTCGGTGCTCAGCATGGAGTCTGCTTGAGATTCTTTCCCTCTCCTTCTGCCCCTCCCCCCTGCGTATGCGCTCTCCCTCTCTCTCTTTCTCTCTCTCTCCCTCCCTAGCTCTAAAATAAATAAATAAAAAATAAAAATAACCTTAAAAAAAAAAAAGAACTCCAGGTACTTGAACAAAGATGCAAACTCTAGCCAGTTACTTTTTTCTCCTGCAACACAGATAACTCAGGAGGATTTGAGGTGGACTTAAGGTATTCGCATAAAACTTCCATTCAGATTCTATTGTTGGATATTCTACTCTATTTCTCTATTCCCCTCTCTCTTTCTGCTCACTGAACTTCTGCCTGCAGCAATTAACTAAGGACACATCAGGACCTCCCTCCACCCTGAAGCATAGTAATCTCATACCCGAAAATTCATCAAAGGGAAAAATCTAAAAGAAAACAAAGTAGCATGTGCCAACATAAGTTGATAAAATACACCCATTAAAAACCATTACAAATACAATGTAGAAATAAAAAAGGTTCACTGAATAATACTAACTGATATATTCCACACAAAAAGCTGTATAAAGACTTAAGTTATCTTTGGGAAGAGGATGGTAGATATTCATATGATAAAGAATAGAAGGAAAAGCAGAGAAATGAAGAACACTGTAATATTTGGGGTGACCCAGCTACCTCCTGGCTCTGGTCATTCAAAATTGCTTCACTGAATATTCTAAAATTGTCCTCTGGTCACAACCTTTGAGCCCCCTGTCCTGCTCTCAGGAACCTGCTCTGCATTTTTACTGTCACCATAAGACTTTCAGACCTGCCCACTTTCCCAGGCCACCAGCTCCCATCTGACAGCTGACTAGACTCTTCTGGAGGTCATTTCACCATAGTATCTTCTTTCTTCTCTCTCTTCCCTCTCTCCCCCAACCCCTTCATGAGTCCTACATATCTCTTGACAATTTTGTCAGTGACCAGTTCTATCTACACCCACCCTATTCCTTCATACCTGGCTGCAGAAAGTCAACGATAATCCTAATTTCTTCTCTATGCTTCCCCAGGCCTTGACTGCGGCTCCTCACCTCCTTTGAGAGAACCCGGTGGCCTCCATGGAGAACACCAGTCTTATCAGAACTACAAACCTTTCCCATTCCCTTCATCCCAGGAGACGTGCTCCCTCACTGCTTTATGAAGAAGAGAACAGCCTTCCCACGAGCACACCCTCCAACTTCTTCCCTCTAGAAATCAAAAGCATTCTAAGATTTATCTTTTTTTTCTTCTCTTTCATCCTGTCTCTTGGAGAAGTTAAGGATACTGCAGCTCAGACAGGTTAAATATATTCATCAAGGACCCCAACTGACCCCAAAGCCCAGTGGGCCCCTGGGATAACCAGGCTGCAAACAAGTAACAGCATTAATGCAGCTAAGTCCCCAAGCGGGGCAACAAGGATTCCGAGCATGGACTAAGCTTCAGCCAGGGTAGACAGAAGAACATTATCCCCAGCCGTGCTTTTTTGAGGAACTTCCTTCTACCTATAGACACATTCGGGCCTCTCCCATCCATACCAAGAACCCTTCTTCTGGCCCTGCTATTGCCCTCGCTTTCCTCTTCCCTTCCTGAAAGAGAAGATGCTTACATCCTCAGCCTTCATTTCCTTCCCGCCCACTCCTCCTCCTTAGCCACTTGCCAACTACATCCACCTCACCACAGCCTGCTAAGCTGGTATCAAAAATGTCACCAGGGACCAAACCCAACAGTCTTTCCTCAACTGTCATCCACTCACACCTTTATGAGGCATCTGAAAGTGCCACCACTCTCTTCTCCCTGAGTGGCCTTGACTTTGGGTCATCCTGGTTTTTCCTACTCTCCCTTCCCTTCAGGGTTCCACAGACAACACCTGTCCTGTGTCAGCAACTGTGTCAAGGAGCACAAGGTCAAGATCAGGGAAGCTTGGGGCGCCTGGGTGGCTCAGTTGGTTAAGATCAGGGAAGCTCACTTCCTGAGCAGACAGCTCAACTGTTAATGCCATTCAATCCTCACAAACTCTGTGAGGTAAACATGACCAGACACATTGTACAGAGAGAAGAATCAAAAATTACTTGCCCAAGACAGACAGTATTTATGAAACTGTATATTAAAAAGATGCTCATGGACACAGAGGAGTTGAAGCTTCAATGCCAATTCTGGAAGAGAAATTCTGGGATGTGACAGGGAGGAACTGAACGGCACATGACAGGGAAGGAGGAGAAGCACATACGAAGAAAAACATAATCCAGAATGACCTCAGTTGCCTCATATGTAAAATGGGAATAATAACAGCTATGAGAATTAAATGAGTTGTATTTGCCAAGTGCTTAGAATAGTGTCTGGCCTAGAATATGATATCAGTAAGTGTTGGCTACATAAAATAAATAAGTAGCAAAAAAAAAAAAAAAAGACCAGTGTGGCTGAAGCACAGGGTGCTTGAGGCAGGATGGAAAGATGAGCAGGGCCAGCCTGTAAAGAACCTGCTGCACAGTGGTAAGAGGTCTGGTCAGACAGAGCCACCTGCCCCGTTCCTGAGGCCTGTGACAGTTAATGGGTGGAAGAAATTGCCAGAGCACCATCCTCCTATTAACAAGTCACACATGTTCACTGTAGAAACCTTAGTAAATACTAACAGCACAAAGAGAATCAAATGACCCTTAATCTCCCAACCTTGGAGAAAATCACTATTGACATCATGGCATTCTCCCGACATTGGTCTCAGGGGTCATTTATCACCTGCCAGCTCTCTTAGCCCTTGAGCAGGAGGCTATATATGGTCTGTTTCCAAGATACCCATCTCCACCCACCACCTGCCCCTGCTATTAAATGCAGCTGTTAAATGCAGGTCAATCTATACTGGAAAATTTAGGATAGCCTGTATACTGGGTTGACTTATGCCCCCTAAATTCATGTTCTGGGACATACAATCTATTCATGTACTGTACGAATATTGGGGTTTGCAGATAAAGGTTCAAATATAAGCTGCTCATGCATGATTTTATCTAGCCCACTAGCAAACGCTGATCAGACACCAAGCACAGCATTGTGTGTTGTAGCTGCAAAATTTTGCAAGGGGGGGCTCCTGGGTGGCTCAGTTGTTTGAGCGACTGCCTTCGGCTCAGGTCATGATCCTGGAGTCCCGGGATCGAGTCCCGCATCGGGCTCCCTTCTCGGCGGGGAGTCTGCTTCTCCCTCTGACCCTCCCCCCTCTCATGCTCTCTCTCTCTCAGTCTCTCTCTCAAATAAATAAATAAAATCTTTAAAAAAAAAAAATTATGCAAGGGGTCTGGGGGTCTCCCTAAGAGCAGTTCACAATAATATATTGGGTGGAAGGAGAAGAAGGGAATGATTCACAATCAGAGAATGATGAACTCATGTGAACTCATGGTGTTTACAGAGTGGGGCACGGACTGGACCAGAAGAAGCTGAGGAAGTTTCAGGGAGGAAGTACCGCTTTGATTTGGTTTCTAAAGGGTAAGTAGGAGTTTTCTTATAAAGTAGAGAAAAAAATTCCAGGCAGCAGAGACAACAAAGCGCTCATTTAGGCAACAGGAAAAAATTCATGTGGCTCAGAGTGGTTCAGGGGAAGTGTAGGAAATGACACCAAAAAGGTTATTTGGGACCAAATTAGGAAGATGCCTATATGCCAGACTTAGGAGTTTGGAAGAAGTGCTGTACTGGGGTTTGCTTTTGAAATCGTTAATTATTAATGGCAGGGGGATGAATGGATAGACAGGGAGGCTGGCCAGGAGCCTGCTGCAGTTGTTCAGGTGAGGGATGACAAGGTCATGAACCCAGTCGATGGCAGTAAATCAGGTGAGGAAAGCAGGGATGCCAGAACATTAGAAGAGAGAGTCCACATAACTCTGGCATCAATTAAATGTGGGGATTAAGAGAGAGGAAGGAGTTAGGAAACCTCAGGGATTTTGAGTCTGAGTGACCAGTAGACCCCAACACCATGAATCACCACAGGGAACACAGAAGAATCAGGTTTGAGATAATGTTGGGAAATGTTTTTTGAGTTGACTATTGGACAACCCACTGGGAATGTTTGAAGGGAATTGACAATATGAGGCTCGTACTCAGCAATGCTTATCACTTTCTTTATAGTAAAGAGAATTCTGCCTTTCTCAACACATATGTTGTGTATATATAGTAGAATCTTATTCTAGCCACATCTCAGGGAACCCTAGGAGGTCAGGCAAGGTCGAGGAAGAGACTTGCCATAGGGATCCCTAAGAGTTACTGAAAGAGCCATGTGCCTGCCCCCTTAACACCTGGTCTTTGCACTCTGGTGAATCAAGAGTTAACACTGAGAAGGGACATAGAACATATAGTTTTTTCTCCATTCAGACTATTTAACATTTCTTCAATAGGAAAATTACTTCATGATTACTGAAGTATGCTATACATTATTGTTACTATTGTGGCCCAAGGAGAAATATCCAAGGTCATTATATGTTTCATGTGAAGTTTCCCTTTTATTTCTACAGGCTTCACCCTGCCCACCAAACTGAAAATCACAATTAAGCCAAGACATCACCTTACTCATGTTTGAGTCATCCAAGCTGAAAAATCTACCTGGCACTTAGCAGATGTTCATTAAACAGTGTGCTGAGCCAGTCTGCAAAGAAGTATGCATGACACTCTGTGTGTATGTGCATGTGTGCGTGTGTGGGTGGGTCTAACACAGGATATGTATCTCTCCTCTCTTGCATATACTCTATATACTCTACCAAACTTGAAAATGAGTTAAGTATTTGCCATTTTACACATTTCTAAACCAGCACAAATGGGGAAACTAGATCTAGATGAACTATAACTTGCTTAAAACTCCGTATCAACTGAATGGCAGAACTGGGAGGTAAATGCAAGAGATCCTATCCCCCAGGAAGTCTTTCAAGGTACCCTGTTTTCCTTTAATTTCCAGAATACTCAGTATTTTAAGAATATCAATATCAATCCTAAATTAATGAAGTAACATTTTTTCTAAACATATACAAGCATTTGTTGGCCCCAGGTAAATGTGGGAAGTCAGCCATTTATCTTCAGGACACCCTGTGTCCTCCTTCTACACCCTACTCCCCAGGCCTCTGAGTCCCCATTAGGCACAGTGAAAGACCTACCATAATTTTCCTCCAATATTGCAAATGATCCCTCCCCTTTTCCCCATCACAGCTTTTATTCCTAATGTGGCTATCCCCAGCTGCATGCCACAGAAGAAACTTGCTGGATGAAATCACCCTTGCATTGCAATAGGATCTCAGGAAGGGGGCAGGAGCTGTGGAAACAGGGCGACCCTGTGTCCAGACTCTGCTTTGCCACTTAGAAGGTGTATGGCCTAGGGCAAGTTCTGTCCCCTCCCTCTCAGTTCCCTTGTCTGCAGGACAGGACACTACTATTCATTCTGCTAAGCTTTCAAGCAGCAATAAAGATAACGCACACAGGTACTTAGCACAGTGTCTGGCATATGAAGTCGCTCCCTAAATGCAGCATTTGCTATTAATTAGTTTTCACAACAACCCTGGGAAGTTGTTATGAAACTGATCATATGAGCAGTTACAAGACCGGCTAAGAGGCTAAGCCACAGATTGAACCCAGAGCTCTCAAAAACACTAAAGCGTTTACCTGACTCCAGGTCTCTCAAGCTGGAATATTTTTGGACTCTTATAAAAAATAAAATTATCTTATGTCAACATCTAACACTTGTAGAGCACTCACTATGAATCAGGCACTATGTGAACCTCTGCACGTGGATGACTCAATGAACCTTCACAGCATTGTATGAGAACTCTTGTCATCCCATTTAACAGATGAAGAAATCAAGGCTTAAAGGGTATAATTAACCACCAAAAGTCCCACAATAAACCGGGATTTGAACTCGTCTAATTCCAATCTTGAATTCTTAAGTGGCACACACACTTGAGTAACTTGGTATCACTTAACTAAGGACACACATAAAATGAGTGGAAATTTCTAATGCTTATACCTCTTAATACCTATAAGACAAAAGCTAGTTCACAAATTAAACACAAATGAAATTATATAAAAAATAAGATTTACATGAACGTTACCTGAATGTGATGGATGGGTGTTTGCTGGAGTTGAATTTCTGTCCCTAAGCCAGTTCTTTTGGAACCTACAAGCTTGCATTACTGTGGGCTATGGGACAATCACTTCCACCCTTTCTCTCAATTTCAACTACAGGGAACCTCTGCTTTTGTACATACAGCACCATGCTAGCATTAGGCCTCCATCTGGCACACTAAATTGTTCAGTGTTCGATCAGCCACTTTCTTTCTCAATAGGCCACAACAATTAAAACATCTTAAATGTAAACCCAGAGATGGGAAATGGGCTGCTGACATGGCACATTCAGTGACAAGGAACTACCCAAAAAATATAGACAAAAAGTGTGTGTGTATACCCATATATGTAACATATAATATCATACATATGTATGGACACACAGGTTATATTTCTGGGGGAGTTGTGTAAAATATTGCCATCAAACTAAGAACAGAAAATTCAAAATTCCTAGAACCTGCAGTCCTCGGCAGATGCGTAGCACCAAAGTTGCTGTTAACATTCACTGCATTCCATCAGGACAGTTCCTTCATTCAGCCATATTCATCAAGATGGATTTCTACCTCCCCCTACCACCAGCAAGGCACAGATACCAAAGAACCACAATGGAGATAAACAAGTTCAAAATGTCTAGGTGTTAAGGAGTTTACAACCAGACATTTGCTGAGGTTAAGGAGAAGAACAGTAATTGTTTACAATGAAAGTTCAGATGGGTCAATACTACACAGCTAAAGAGTTCCAGTCAATTCTTAAAAAGAAAAGGAAAGAAAATGACGCAGTCTACTAAAGATCTCCAACAAGCCAAAGGCCTATTTTATTCATGAGGGTAGTTCTTTTCCCTTTCCACTCAGGACACAGTTCAAAGAATGGGCCTAAGTGCAGCAAGACACATTAATTATGACAAACAAGTCCCCAAGATGGGTTTGGCGGGGGGTTTTGTGGATATTGAGAACAATTTTGATGTAGACCTCTCTGGCATCAGGAGAAGTAGAATACATAAAATTCAAAGGCATTTCCAACTTGATGGTGGTATGATAAAATGCCCCTCTTCACCAAGGGCTGAATTCTAGTGAAAAATGAAAGAAAGTAAAAACAAAAACTTGGCATCCTAACCTTTCTTCCTCCCTTTTCAACAACTTATAATAATAATTGACATAGGTGATTTACATTTTGTAGAGTGCTTTTACACTACAAAAAAATAACGCCCAAAACAACAAACAACAACAAAACCCCAGCATTTTTACATAAAGAAGCCAGCAGTTACATAAACATGGTTCAGTTATGGTTTTTAACATAATATCCAGCATAAAAACAGGATATTGAAAAACTGCTATAAATTATAAGGAATCTGAAGGCAGAAAATTCCATTTCTGAACTCACAGAATGTAAGATAATGCTAATATAGACAAGCATAAGGTTTCTGGAGATACTTTTTTCACTGTATTTAAAAAGTTTTTTCTTGGGGCACCTGGGTGGCTCAGTCGGTTAAGCGACTGCCTTCGGCTCAGGTCATGATCCCAGGGTCCTGGGATTGAGCCCCGCATCGGGCTCCCTGCTCGGCAGGAAGCCTGCTTCTCCTTCTCCCACTCCCCCTGCTTGTGTTCCCTCTCTCGCTGTGTCTCTCTCTGTCAAATAAATAAATAAAATCTTAAAAAAAAAAAAAAAAAAAGTTTTTTCTTGAGTAACCATTCCCTCTTAGGACTTTTCTATACTTCTGGCAACCCTTCCCCAAATCCCCCTTGTGGCCCAAAAACACTTCTAAAAACTATTACCAGATATGTTTATCACAGTTGAAAGCAAAACTTACTAACACATGTTTTGAAATAAGTCTAAAAGGGATTTACCTAGTTTAATTTTTAAAATTAGGGTGCCTGGGTGGCTCAGTGACTGCCTTCGGGCTCAGGTCATGATCCTGGGGTCCTGGGATCGAGTCCCACATCGGGCTTCCCTTGCTCTGCGGGGAGCCTGCTTCTCTCTCTGCCTCTGCCTGCCATTCCCCCTGCTTGTGCTCTCTCTGTCAAATAAAGAAATAAAATCTTAAAAAAATAAAATAAAATTAGTAAAAATTAGAATGAGTTAGGTAGAAATAAATGTATATGGATCCTTCATAAATTTCATGTAACAGACTTCCAAATTCAAGGAATTCCAGACTTAATAAATTCAATCCAAAGATTACAAATCCTTTGGAGCCGAGACGATGCCAGTGAGCTCGGATTGCCACGTTTTCTTCTTCCCGGGTGCCCATCTCTGCTGTATTTTTTCACCGTCATGCATTTAGGTGAGGGCACAGGAATGAACTTTAGCCAAGGGAGTGCAGGTGGAAGTGATGTTAAGACCACTTCCTGTCCTCTAAAACCTTGCATACCATCTCCCATGGTCCATCGCCTCCTTTGTGATCCAGCTGGATGAGAAAGTCCAGTGGAAGGGTCAGAAGACCCCAAGACAATGGCGTGCTAATGGGTATAAAATTTGTTTTTGGGGAGGCACCTGGGTGGCTCAGCTGGTTAAGCATCTGACTCTTGATTTCGGCTCAGGTCATGATCTCGGGGTCCTGGGCTCGAGCCCTGCATGTGGCTCCACGCTCAGCCAGGAGCCTGCTTGAGATTCTCTCTCTCCCTTTCCCTCTGCCCCTCACCCAGAGCATGCTTACGCTCTCTCTTTCTCAAATAATAAATAAATAAATCTTAAAAAAAAAGATTTCTTTTTGGGTTGATGAATATGTTCTAAAATTGATTGCAGTGATAGTTGCACGACTCTGTGAACCTACTAAAAATCACTGAATTACAGAATTTAAGTAGGTGAATTATATCTCAATAAAGCTCTTCTTAAGGGCGCGTGGGTGGCTCAGTTGTTAAGCGTCTGCCTTTGGCTCAGGTCATGATCCCAGGGTCCTGGGATCGAGCCCCGCATCGGGCTCCCTGCTCAGTGAGGATCCTGCTTCTCCCTCTCCCACTCCCCCTGCTTGTGTTCCCTCTCTCGCTGTGTCTCTCTGTCAAATAAATAAATAAAATCTTTAAAAAAAAAAAAAAGCTCTTCTTAAATAAAAACAAAAAAAACAACAGAGCCACTATATGCAAGGTGCTTAGATTCCTGAATCAAAAGTATAGGGTAGTTGTATGTAATGTAAGTAAGAAATAAACTCTTTATTGTGTTAAGGCATTGGGTTTGGGGGACTGCATGTTACAGCAGTCAGCTACCTTTTAAAACACCTTCTAGAATAAGAAGATCCCACATCTCAGGTACTTAATACTTCAGATTCCCTATCCATAAAGGAAACATGTTGAACTAAATCAGTGTTTCCCAAAGTAAGCTATGGTGGTATCTGAGGTGGCTTTAGGTGGAACTTGGACAGACATTTGTTTTTATTGTATTTAGTTTCATGGTTACCTTTTATTTGGATTTATAATATATAAATAAAATATAATAATATATTATTTCCATTTACTGAGGGATACAGTTTCCTTTCAAGATTAAATGTATTTATGGAAAAAAAGACATGAAATTATTTACAGGAAACATTAAGCATAAGACAGTACTATACAGATGGCACATACATATGCCAAAATCATGTAAGTAGGATGCACAATGGCTGAAGTTTGGACAACACTGAGTTAAATTATCTCTTCGTTTCCAATGCTAACATTCCTTGATTTCTGTTATTTTGTACTTATTACTGTAATCCTCCAACACCGGGCCTGCCTGGTATACCTCCCGCTCCATGAGTTAAGAGTACACTGGGGGTTGGGGCACCTGGGTGGCTCAGTCGGTTAAGCGACTGCGTTCGGCTCAGGTCATGATCCCAGGGTCCTGGGATCGAGTCCCACATCGGGCTCCCTGCTCAGAGGGGAAGTCTGCCTTTCCCTCTCCATCTACCTCTCCCCCTGCTCATGCTCTCTCTCTCCCTCTCAAATAAATAATTTTTTTTTTTTAAAGAGTACACTGGGGGGCGCCTGGGTGGCTCAGTCAGTTAAGTGACTGCCTTCGGCTCAGGTCATGATCCCAGGGTCCTGGGATCGAGTCCCACATTGGGCTCCCTGCTCCACGGGGAGCCTACTTCTCTCCCTCTCTCCCACTCCCCCGGCTTGTGTTCCCTCTCTCACTGTGTCTCTCTCTTTCAAATAAATAAATAAAACCTTTAAAAAAAATTATCAAAAATCTGGAAGCGATCCTTCCAGTTTAAAAAAATAAAAATAAATAAAAAAAATAAAAGAGTACACTGGGGTTATTGACTTGTTATGACAAGATCAATCGACAGGTATACATTCAGCTAAAACCCCATGACTGTGACACATAATAATTCTCAGCTACCTGAGGCACCT